TTTTTTTTTTTTTTCCTGTAGGTTTTTTAAATAAAAAAAAAAAACGCATTTTTCATAATGTTTAGTGAAATTATTTGGCAGTCTGAGGTGGGATGGGGATTCGGGAAAGCGGGGAGGGGGGCCGTCAGATTTCTTTTATAGGTTTAAAGGGGAGCACGACCAAAGAAGTTTGAGAACCACTGGTCGAAGCCATTCGCAGAAGCCCCACCCACAATTGTTGACAGACACTGCCGTATTAGCAGAACCCCCGCCCTGAGTGAGCCGCACACAATCCGCCATGTTTATCTTCACGCTAGAGCATTTAAAAGCAGCATTCAAGTAAGAATGTCTTTTTATTAGTACTACAGAAATTACTCAGTCCAGAGCAGTGAGTGATTTTCTGTTTTTATTTTATTGTTTGGCTCACATTAACAGCGTAGACAGTACTGTATATTACGCTGCTCTCACTTAATACACAGATCTAATATAAACATGCGATTTCTTTCCCAGCTGTTTACCTTCACTGACATAACCGACTGTTCTTGTAACTCGTGTGTTTTAACAAACTTATGTGTATTTGACAGTTTCAGTGCAATAAGACGTGAAAGAGAATTTAGTCTTGTACTCGCATGCCGTGTGACCGCCGCTTTCTGTGCGTTCAGAAAACCGTATTTCAGAAGTTTAAACCAATATGGCTTTAAAACGCATCATTTCAGTGCAAAAGACATGAAAAGACAATCAAAACCAAACGGATGTTTTTAGCGGAGTATCTGAGGCACCAGCTGTAAAGACACAGCTCTATTCTGGAAAAGGGAGCGGGGAGCAGCAGCTCATTTGCATTTAAAGAGACATGCACTAAAACGGTTTCTGCTTTTACTCAAACGAGGCATTTTCAAAATGTTATAATAAATGATCTGTGGGGGATATTGAGCTGAAACTCTACAAACACATTCTGCGGACACCGCAGACTTATATTACATCTTGTAAAACGGGGCCTAATACGGGTTTCTAAACAAAGCATGTGATTCTGTCCCTACAGACATGGCCACAAACTCCAACAGAACACCTCTCAGCCTCACAAGGTATGTCTGTCAACATAACATCCCCAAATATCCCGACCGCTGCTTTCATTCAGGTCCTCCTTGATCTCACATCCCCTCTCTCTGTTCACAGTCACAGCAGCACGGCCCCGTCACACGCCTCAGAGTCTCGCGGCCAGACGCCCAGCTCCTTCAACGAGGAAGAGGACGACGAGGATGATGACGACAATCCCTCTTCCCCAGAGTGATCCTGAGCTCAGTGCTGGGACGGGAATCGCGAGCAGAGCCCGGGAGGAAACGCTACACAGGAAATAAGCTGCCACTCCTCTCTATATTACCATATTTTAACTTCCCTCACCATCTCTTTCCTCCTCTTTCCCAGTTTGGCACAAACGCCAGGAGTCTTTGGCTCCGGGGGAGATGGTTTACTGTATTTCTGTGGTGCTTTTTGGCTAGCGAGCCGCAGGTCGGGCCATAGAGGAGAGCGTATAAGTGAGGGTTAACACATCTTCAGGTCAACTGCCTCATGTCATCTCGGTGTTCTACTCTTCTCTGTTTCCTACCCTGAGGGACGTTCAA